CTGAAATAAAAAAAAGAAAAAAAAAATCAAATGGGAATGCTAGAAATAAAAAAATCATGATAACAGTGATGAAGAATTCCTTTGATGGGATATTTAGTAGATGGGACACAGCTAAGGAAAGACTCATTGAATTTAAAGACAGGTCAGTAGATCCAACTGAAATACAAACAGGAAAAAAATGAATGAAAAAAACACAACAGCGTGTCAAAGCGCTATGGCACTGTGAGACATCATCAGATAGTCTAACAAATATACAATTGGAGACTCAGAATGGAAAAAAGAGGTAATGGGGCATAAAAGATATTTGAAGTGATATGGTCTAGAATTTCCCCAAAATAATGTAATACATAAAACCACAGATACAAGAATCTCAGAGAACCCTAAGGTAGAAGGAAAAAGCAAACCTATATACATCATACTGTAGCTAATGAAAACCAAAGATAAAGAGAAAAGTCTTGAAAGTACCCAAGAAAAATGAAGCATCACACACAGAGGAACAAAGATAAGAATTACAGATTTCTCATTGAAAAATGAAAATTTAAAAAAAAAATCATAAGTATGAAAAAATTTATATCATTGTCTCCAGACAGAACTTTCAACGTCTAAGAGGTTCTATAATGTCTAGTATATTAACCATTACCTGCTCCTTTTACAATAGTCACTTTCTATGTATGTTGTAGGCAGTTTAAGCCACTCATTTGCAGTAATAAAGGGCCTTGAATTAGAAATTCTTGGGAATCTTGAATGCAGTTGGGCCTTCTCAACCTCTTTAAATTCTTTCATTGTATATATTTTGCCTGCAGAAAGATTAGTAATCTAAATTAGCACACTTAAATGCAATTTCCACTGCTCTTGGGCCATGAAATCACACAGCAGTTAGGAACTAAGTACCAGTCTCACACTGAAGAAGAGTTCTTTTTTCATCATCCTCGTCATATTGTGCTTTTTTCAAAGGGTCACGAAATGGTGGGATGATAACCTACAAGAGAGGAACTTCTTTGAGGACTGGGATGCAGTTCTGAATATTAAACATTTTCAGTCTATCTTATCCATAAGGATAGGACAGACTATCCACATATGGCTCTTATGCCAGAAGAGTAAAGAATATAATATTTACAAACTAATAGCTTACTATGATGTATATTTAGCACATTACAAACAGCTGGGAGGCTCTCCAATACTTCTCTTAACAAGGTCCTCCAGTCAAAGAGGCAAGGTTAGCTCTCGTTTCAAAGTGTAGGTTAAGTCTTCATAAATTCTTTTGTTGTTATCGTATATTCCCACATTTAAAAATTTCTTTCCCATGCACAAAAGAAAAAATATATCCATATATTCATCTTACTCCCTAACATCCATAATCTACAACATAATTAACAGTTATGCAAAACTTAACCAACATAATATTCAAAATGTAGATCGTTTATGAGCCAAGGCATTGAAGCACCAGATCTATTGTTATGACCAATGTTATCAATATCAAAATGACAGTTCTACGAAAGAAAACAGCATTCAGCAACAGTAACATTCATGGTCTGGGCCTACTCAGTGAAATTCTACCACAACCTAAAAAGGCCACCCATGTATATTTCTAATGATAACCAGGCTTGTTTTTCTGAGATAATTATAATATACATCATGGCTATTAGAGTTAAAATAAACAGTGATCAGTCTGCCCTCTAGAATTTTACTTTTACAGAAGTTATAAAGAGTGTTACTTATAAAATATTAAGAAAACATTAACTCATTATAAAAAGAGACAAAAACAGTACTGTCATTTTCAGGTTTTTGTATGTGATTTATTGACATATGAATAACAAATCAAATTTTAAATTGAAGAGAGAAATAGAGAACATTCTAATTTTATCAGCAATGGTAAGTCCTGAGACTCTACTATCTCTACTGATAAGCACTTGTAGACCATAAGAACCTAAATGGAGATATTATAACCCACTGGTTCTCCAACTGTGTTATTTCAAGATGTTGTTATTATGTCCAAAGAACTCTTGGATATATGAGTTATCTTTTGGTATTTACTATATTGGGAATTAAAACTGAGAAAATTTTAAATTATTTATTAATTTTAATATAACAATAATAAGCCTATTATATTTAACATATATTTTTATGAATAAATACTACATTTTCCAAAGCAAAAAAATAGTGAAAGGAGTAACATTGTTTTGCATTTTTGTAAATTTCTTTTATGTCTTGCTTAATAGAAGACAACTGGATTCTCACATCTGATTCTGCATGCAATCTGTTGAGATATATTGTTTTATTTGAAGTAAATGAAGGAAATCCATACAGAGATATGTAGTTGAAAAAGGAAGGAGTATTTTAACAACCTTTTCAGATCACTGTGGATATCTTCTTTGATACTATACTCAAACTCAACAAGTGGTGGTTTCTTAAAGGTTAGTTATGATATGGAATCTGAAACCATATCAATGAATTTTTCATGCTCTTCTACATTAAAATCCATGGTCTGCCTTGCACTTTGAATGAATCTTTTTCCCATGCATGATTTTGTAACATCATGAATTGATCATTTGGGAAAAAATTTGGATCACTGAGTTATGTATGGAAGAGCTTCCAAATGTTTATACATTTCATTATACAATATCAAAGAATCACATTCATTAATATCATTACCAATCTCATCAGTAAAGTCTTTGAGTATTGGAACATTGTCACACTCATGATGGTGAATGTGAGTTTTCCAAAATTCAAATGTTTTGCTTGAAAGCTCACATTTTTTCATTGGCAACAAATATTGTCAGTAGTTTTCCTTGAAGTGACAGGCTAACTTCATTCATTTTGTTATTTAATAACAGTGTATTATATTCTTCAAAATTGCTAAGAGAGTAGATTTTATGTGTTCTCATTTACAAAAAATAAGTAGCATGTGAGGTAATGTATATGTTAATTAGCTAAATTAAGCCATTCCAGGCCAGTCACTGTGGCTCATGCCTGTAATCCTAGCACTCTGGGAGGCTGGGGCAGGTGGATCACTTGAGGTCAGGAGGCCAGCCTGAGCAAGAGTGAGACCCCATCTCTACTAAAAATAGAAAAAATTAGCTGGGCATGGTGGCACGGCCTGTAGTCCCAGCTACTCGGGAGGCTGAGGCAGGAGGATTGCTTGAGCCCAGGAGTTTGAGGTTACTGTGAGCTAGGCACTCTAGCCCAGACAACA